AAGAGTAAGATATTTGCAGTTATCTGCTTTTCAACAGCATCTATCCATGACAAGTTGTATGGCTTTTAATATTCCCCCCTACTGTATATTGTTCTCTAGATGGCCCAAGTCTCTTAACATTGAAAGAATAAATAGAAAGGTTATCAGCATTCCATCAGTAGAGATCCTGGTGTTTTCTAGGATTTTTTTTTTAAGACCAAAGATTGGTTCTCTGTTCACTTTCAAATCATTTATTTTACTTGCATAACACTGTATAGTCAAAAACAGTTAGTATGTGACTGTTTCTGAGCGGATCTAACTAGCCTGAATGCTCCATTTAATTTAAAACAACATACTGCTAAGCTGTTTATCTCTGCTCTGACCTGCATATTTACAGGAGGAAAAAAGTGGGTTTGTTTTAGAAGCCCCAATTGCATTTTAAAAAGGAGTCAAACAATTTCTGACAATGGAGCAAGTTTAAATAAACAGAGATGTATCACATGGATCAGCAACAATTGTGTAAGTCCGAATGCCAGTGTATATCCTGATGCAGATACCAGATCTCAAATCCTGTACCTCTAGGAGATAAAGCACATACAGGACATAATGCGGGGTGGAGAGGCAAAGTTTAATTAATCTTTGTGTCCTTGGGCTGTGGGGTTGCTCACGGGGGCAGTGCAGTCCCTGGCATAAATTAGAGCAGCCAGGGACCACTTTAATGTATGGCAACCTCTTTTTGATTTGAATGCAGAACTTCTGAGATTATGACCTTTACATGCATATACTTTCAAAATGGTATACGCATATACTTGCACCCACTGTTTGTAGATGCTGACATCCGCGTATGAAGGTAAATACCTCCATGCAAACTGGAAGTTATCCAAGGCCTGTGCATGCAAGTGTTAAAATTTGCACTTTCAAACTGGAATTTGGCCCCCGTGGACTTTGTGGATCCTGAAATTTGACTGAGCGCAAAGACATTTTTGCATCCATAAGCGATACATGGCCTTCATGCAGGAGGTGGTGGGACCTATTTGTCGAAGAATGACTGGTTTGCTGCAACCATTTGAACTCTGCTTGCAGCCTAAGTAGATAACTTATCAACGCTTTCTATGTTACTTGACCCCACCTGCACTGGGGGTTCTGATGGCCCAGCACTGTCATTCTGGACCTTGGTCTTCTGCCATGAAATGTCCAACTCTGTAGTGCAGGCAGTGTTTTGGAGATCTTGGATGGGGGCTGAAATTCTCTGACTTCTCCACTAGCTAGGCAGCATCATCAGCATAGTCTTGGTTGGTAAACACTTCTTGAGCAACCTTGTTTCCAATGTGTGGTGTGGCCTCAGAGATTTGTGGATTCACAGGATTGAGCCAAGTCAGGGAACTTCACTACATTATGCCTGGCGTGACACCATCAACCATGGTCAGTCTGGCTGGTGCAATGGTCTTCAGTACTCTATACATGTTTGATGATAATGGACTTTGTGGATAAAAATGTTGGCACTTGCATGCACTCAGATGGTGGATAATTTGATGTTCACACACAGGTTTTAGAAGTGTTAGCATGTGTTGGCACCTTACAATGGAGGTGAAAGTATGTGTGCACACCATAAGGGGAGGGATAGCTCAGTGGTTTGAGCACTGGCCTGCTAAACCCAGGGTTGTGAGTTCCCTCCTTGAGGGGGCCATTTGGGGCAAAAATCTGTATGGTGATTGGTCCTGCTTTGAGCAGGGGATTGGACTAGATGACCTCCTGAGGTCCCTTCCAACCCTGATATTCTATGATTCATTTACCGTATGCATAAGCTGGGAGCCTGGGTGAAAATTTACCCCAGAAGATAATATGCCTTTTAGGGCTTGCCTTCATGTACAGTGCTAGAGCAGTGCAAGGTTCTCCCATCAGCATACTTAATCCACCTTCCTGAGAGGAGGTATCTATGTTGACGGGAGAACCTCACCCATCAACACAGTGCTGTCTATATGGCACATTAGGTCTGTATAACTATGTCGCTCAAGCGTGTGGATTTTTCACACCTTTGAGCAACGTAGTTATACCGATATATGTCAGTAGTGTAGACCTGGCCTTAGACTAATTCTACACTGCAATCAAAGGTGTGCTTCACTGCTCGTGTAGGCACACATATGTGTGGTTTATTCTAGTTAGCATGCTAAAAATAGCTGTATGGACTTCAGCACAGGCTATGAGTATGTACCCAAGGGGACCAGGTAGGCTCGTACAGCCTGTGTTGAAGCCCAGTCTTCACTGCTATTTTTAGCATAGTAGCTAGATTACAGCTACTGCAGGTATGCCTACATGGGCTGCAAGTCACACCTTCAACTGCAGTGTAGATATAGCCTTAGTTAGTATTTATCTTTTTTAGTGTATCTGTCAGGAGATGTAGGAAGTAAATGTTCCCAGAGTAGGAATTAATCTTTTATGCTGCCAATATATTTGCTTTTGTGTTTAATTATTATTTATTTTATTCCTTTATTATTGTAGTTACTTAATATTATTATTGTGTATTTTAGGTGTACATGGAGATGCTTAGGTGGATTTGTTGTTATGTATTGTACTTGTTATGCTCCAACTTCTTCTGTACTTAGGTCTGCTTGGAAGCAAAGAGCAACCTATTTCTGTGAACAATTTGTTGGTGAAATGAGTGTCAGCAGTAATATGAACCTGTTGCTATAACTGAGCCTTGATTCAGTGCATGTTGGGGTGAACTCTGCTTTGCTGTTCAGGAGAATTAGGTGGGCCACACCTGAGTTGTAATCACAGAGCCTATTGTGGTTGCAGAGTTCCAGTTTCAACACTTGTATCAAGGCAACTCAGAGGTCTTTTTCTTTTGTCTGACTGATCCTGTGACTAGATGCCAGTGGGTGGCAAGTATCATTCTAAATGATGAGTAAAATGTATTCTAAGCTCCAAGGCTTCTACAAAGCATGGTGTTTTCCTAAGTCACTAGAAAGCAAGGTGTTGACTAGAAGGGACTATTACAATGGACTAAATCCTGTTCCTCTACACAAACCCAAGGTAATAGGCTTTATCCAGGGAATATAAACAGGGTATGAGGGAGAGAATCTCCCATCCTCAACCTGGTGGTGGGATGGAGAGCACCATACAACTCCTCCACATGTCCTAATGCAATTGATGGGCTTTTGCATCTGTGCTCAGTGCATCTTCCCTGTTGGGGCTCTGGCTAGTGTATCTGCATAATGTTTTCACAGTGCAAACTGAGAATCCTGACAAAATTTGTAGCATTTTCACATAATAAAAACATAATACTTAGCTGTTATATAGTGCTTCTCCTCAGAAGATCTCAAAGCACTTTATACAAGGGGTCAGTATCACTATCCCCATTTTACAAATGGGCAAACTGATGTTCTGAGAGGGGAAGTGACTTCTCCAAAGGCATACAGCAGGGCAGTGGCAGCACCAGAAGTAGAACCCAGGTTTTCTAAGTCATAGGTCAGTGCTCTAGCCACTAGGCCACACTGCATTTCTTAAATAGCATCACATTGATTTATCAAAATGTTGCCATTGTGATGTAGCAAAATTTTATACCTGCAATCCTATTGCCCATCAAAAATGAAAGAAGAAAAAGTACACAAGGCCCAGTTTGCTTTCCTAGATTTTTAGAAGTCTCGGTAGATCTGATTCTTCAGGGATCTTCACATACCTAAGGCCTACCAGGCTTTTTTGAAGGCCCTCGATTTCCTGGGCTAACAGATGACCATGACCTTCCTGCAGGTTTTCTTTCCAGGTGGTATAGTATAATGAAGTGCAATCCCCAGTGTTTGCCAATGCTTGTCTGCAGCCTTAATTGACTTTATCTAAACAACTGCTACCCAAGATGACACATTTAATTGTTTAGCATGATCACAATTAACCTGCTCACTTCTGGTGAAATTCATGCCATCAAGTGAGGAAAGAACAAAAGCACCGAAGACGTTCCCACTATACACACATTTTTTATTACAGCGCCAGTCAATATTTTGCCTTTGCATGCTGCAGAAAACAATGGAGATTTCATAGCCCAGGACTAAGGAGAATGCAGTTTATCTCCTAGCTACTGCCAAATATCTGGACTGAGGCATATTAGCAGGGATAAAAAAAAAAAATGAGGAGTCCTTGTGGCACCTTAGAGACTAACAAATTTATTTGGGCATAAGCTTTCATGGGCTAGAACCCACTTCATCAGATGTATGAAGTAAAAGATACAGGAGCAGGTATAAATACATGAAAGGGTGTGGGTTGCTTTACCAAGTGTTAAGTCAGTGTAATGAGATAAATCAATTAACAGCAGGATACCACGGGAGGAGAAATAATTTTTGAAGTGGTAAGAGTGGCCCATTACAGACAGTTGACAAGAAGATATGAGTAACAGTAGGGAGAAATTAGTATAGGATAAATTAAGTTTAGGTTTTGTAATGACCCAACCACTCCCAGTCTTTATTCAGGCTTAATCTGATGGGATCTAGTTTGCAAATTAATTCCAATTCTGCAGCTTTGCATTGGAGTCTGTTTTTGAAGTTTTTTTTGTTGAAGAATTGCCACTTTGAGGTCTGTTATTGAGTGACCAGAGAGATTGAAGTGTAGCATAGGGCACAGCCCTTGTTCAAACTCTGTGCCACTCAAAAATATAGGCTAAAATTAAATCAACAAAAGAGTGAAACACATATTTACTGAGGCAATCTGAAAGTGATAGTGTTCCAAAGGTTCTGAGCTGATTTAAGGATTAAATGTGATTATCTAGATGGTATGAGCTAGATTTGTTTCTCTTTGGTTCAGCTTTTATGATAAAGCCCAGTGCAGTAGCAGAAAAGGATTGGATCTCAGTAAAAAACAAGAAGTAACTTCTCTGGACAGTGCTAACTCTGAATGTTATACAGGGTCAGATCCTCAGCTGATGTAAAATGGTGCATCTATACAATGCTGATTAATAATGGAATCATGCTGATTTATACAAGCTGAAAATCTATATTTAAAAATTAACTAACATGTTGGTTCACCATTGACAGATGTGGAAGAAGAAAAGTCATCAAGAGTGGAACCTGCAAATTTTGATTTGACATAATGGGTGGAGGTAATCAACGCAAAACAAAGTGTAAGTTTTAGTGTTACTGTAGAGTTACAAAGTGTTAATGTATTTCATGTAGCTCAGGGAAGAAGACTAAAGAACTATAGTTACCATACAATAAATATTATTTTAGTGAGAATCATGAAGAATTGATCAAGTAAACAAACTGCCATAATGCAAGTTGAAAATACATGGCCAAATTCTTGCTTACGTATGGCTGCATGTAGACCTCTCCAAGAGCAGAATTTGGTCTATAATCTGTGGAAAGATAATCATAATAGGATAAAAGAGAGGATGTTATAGCAGTAACCACAAATGACATACATGAAGCAAATCTGCTAGATTTAACAGATCTTTAATAGAGGAGGTTGATCTTGCATAATGTGAGTGGAGTATGATGCCAATCTTTGAACCCATTTGCTAATAAAATAGCATTGCTAATTGTTATCCCTTATGAATTCAATACTGGTTTCCAGCCAAAGCATCATAAGCAGTTGACTGCTCAGACATAACAGTAACATTCAATAATGACATGCTGTGGCAGTTTAGAGGATGCGTCAGCACAGGAAAGTGATGCAACTGCCTGTGAAGAAAAATCGAGGTGGCAGATTCCACCTGGAAACTCAAATTGGAATGAGACAGAAATGGTTAAATATGATCACATTCTGCCTCTTCAGGGTAGGCTAAGGAGGCAGATCAAGAAATGTTTGTGTAGATGAGACTAGACTTATAAAAGACTAGAACCCTGCTCATGGGGGCTTTCTGCATTGACTGGCATAAGAATTGAGGAATATTTGGGGGAAAATGCTTATTTTTGAAGGTAGCATAGACCTCTATATTAAACTGCTAGTTTGTTTTTGTTAAGTAAATGCAACAAACCTCGATGCCAACTCTGCCCACATATCTACACCAGCAACATCATCACAGGACCTAACCAGATCAGCTACAACATCACCGGTTCATTCACCTGCACCTCCACCAATGTTAGATATGCCATCATGAGCCAGTAAAGCTCCTCTGCTATGTACATTGGTCAAACTGGACACTCACTACGTAAAAGGATAAATGGACACAAGTCAGATATTAGGAATGGCAATATACAAAAACCTGTAGGAGAACACTTCAACTTCCCTGGACACACAATAGGAGATTTAAAGGTAGCCATCCTGTAGCAAAAAAACTTCAGGACCAGACTTGAAAGAGAAACTGCTGAGTTTCAGTTCATCTGCAAATTTGACACCATCAGATCAGGATTAAACAAAGACTGTGAATGGCTAGCCAACTACAGAAGCAGTTTTTCCTCCCTTCAACTGCTAGCAGAGGACCTCACCCTCCCTGATTGAACTAAATTCGTTATCTCCAGACTGATTCTTGCCAGCATATTTATACCTGCCTCTGGAAATTTCCATTACATGCATCTGACGAAGTGGGCATTCACCCACGAAAGCTTATGCTCCAATACATCTGTTAGTCTTAAAGGTGCCACAAGACTCTCTGTTGCTTTTTAAGTAAATGAGTAATTCTAAAATAATTTGGGAAATCACCCAAGCTAATAAACAAGATAGAACAAATTGAGCTTAATGGGAATCCCCGCGTCCCCTGAACCCTGCAAAGTACTTGTTTGCATGCATATGCACACACAAAACTCCTTACAGATTTCAGTGCATTTCTCTCTTATGAAATACTGTAAAATTCAGTTATTATATGGAATGACCATAATATCATCAGCAGATGCAAGATATTCAATGTGAGAAAAAAATTGAGAAATTATTGAATACGCAAAAGAAAAGTGGAGTCAGTTCTTATGCAGAAAATTAACTGTGGGAAAATGAAAAAATATTTAGAGAATTGGTTATTGTGTGTTTTAGACAATTAGAATTTAGTTGATTTACCAAGCATACTTTTTTAAAAAAATAGGACTTATAGACCGAACTATACACTTATGAAAAAGCTATAGAAGAACATTAATCTCTCACTGTTTTGGTGTATTGAAATTGTATGAATTTACAATTATTTAGAATATTTTAAATGTTTACAGTTTTGTGGCATTAGAGAGAAGGGGACAAACTTATTTATTCAACGGGAATCATATGTTGTAGAATGCATATGGAGGTGGTGGAATCTCCATCCTTAGAGGTTTTTAAGGCCCAGCTTGACAAAGCCTTGGCTGGGATGATTTAGTTGGTGTTGGTCCTGCTTTGAGCAGGGGATTGGACTAGATGACCTCCTCAGGTCTCTTCCAACGCTAATAGTCTATGATTCTAATGCCTTGGAAAGCATTTAAGAAATAAAACCACCTCGATGAACAGCATAGAGCTTTTTGTGATGTGGTTAGAGTGATGCAGTATCAGTGTAGACAATGTGCTTGCTTATGTTGGCCTAATTAGCCTTCAGGAAGCAGGGCTGGCTCCAGCATTTTTGCTGCCCCAAGCGGAAAAAAAAAGTGATTGGCGGCACTTCGGCGGCAGCTCTACCGCCACCGCTTCATTCTTTGGCGGCAATTCGGCAGCAGATCCTTCCCTTGGAGAGGGACTGAAGGACCCGCCGCTGAATTGCTGCCGAAGACCCGGACGTGCTGCCCCTTCCCATTGGCCGCCCCAGGCACCTGCTTGCTGTGCTGGTGCCTGGAGCCGGCCCTGTCAGGAAGTGTCCCACAATACCCATCATAACCACTGTAGTCAGCAGGTGGTTCAACAGTCATTCGGAACTTGCTGAGCCTGTTGTTGAAGTGTTCCTTGTTGCTGCCTAGGTTCCTGATGTAAGGCTTCATGTGCCACAGGAGCTTGTCGTATGATGGATCTCTCAGGATCACTATGGGAATTTGCACATCCCCCACTGGAATCTTCTTGTCTGAAAAGAAAGTCCCAGCATGCAGCTTTCTATACAGTCCAGTGTTCCTAAAGATGTGTGCATCATGCAACTTCCCTGACCAGCCTGCATTGATGTCAATGAAACAGCCCCAGTGATCCACCAGAACCTGCAAGATCATGGAGACTTAGCCCTTTTGGTTGATGGACTCTGTTGCAAGGTGATCTGGGGCCAAAATTGGGATATGAATGCCATCTATCACCCCACTGCAGTTAGGGAATCCCATTGCTGCAAAGCCATCAATTATTTCCTGCACATTATCCAGAATCACAGTCCTTCATAGTAGGAAGTAATCAATGGCCCTGTACACTTGCATCACTGCAGCTCCCACTGTGGACTTTCCAACTACAAACTGATTCGCAGCTGATCAGTAGCAATCTGGATTTGCCAGCTTCTACACAGTGATCACCACTCACTTTTCCACTGTGAGGGCAGATCTCATGTTGGTGTCTTTGCACCAAAGAACAGGGGTAAGCTCCACACACAGTTCCAGGAAAGTGATTTTGTGCATCCAGAAGTTCTGCAGCCACTGCTTACCATCCCATATGTGCATCATGATGTGATCCCATCACTTAGTGCTTGTTTCCTGAGCCCAGTACCAATGGTCCCACATGTGCAGCTGCTCCATGAATGCCAGCAGCAATCTTGAATTGTTTCTTTCCATGGCACACAGCAGGGCAGGCACCACAAATTTTCTTTGTTCCCCAGCTCATGAAATACTGCAGGACCAGCCACATTGTGTTCATAATGCTCATCACAAGATTGGTCAGCAGCTCAGGATCCATGCTTTCAGGCAGAGATGGTGGGCACACAGTTTACAGGGGATGTTAAAAGCAGCGCAAAATGAAGTCGGAAATCCATGGAATGATGGGACAGAAAGAACTGCATCATGGAATGGTGAGCATGCTCCCATGATGCACCGTGATCAGTTTCCGGAGCTTCCATTGGCAGAGGGTGGTGAGTTGCACAATGGGATAGCTACCCTTGCTACAACACCCTCTCTGTTGATGCAAGAGCACTGACTATGGACTCACTCCACTGACACAAGGAGCATTGTACACGTCCAATGAAATTAAAGTGGCATATGGTCATTGATGTAACAAGGTGACTTAACTCTGTGGTATAGACAAGGCCTTCGTCTGTGATGGGGTAGAGTTATTCAGTGGTGGCTGGTGACATCTGAAAGGATGTAAGGTGAGATACATGCTGCATCCATCTCAGAACCTTGACTGGATTTATCTTGAGCTGGAATAAAGAACAGTTCACCATAGTTGTGAATTCTGACAGTGAAACTCACAAACATCTCTTTGCTGTTGAGCCCTTGGGAACAAGTCTAGTAGAACCACAGCTGCTGCGACACCAGAATGTATCACTCTCCACTCTGGACTTCTGCTGTGTCTGCACTGATGGAGATGACCTTTTAAAAATATTGTAGTGTATAGAGACCCAACATAGAATTGAGCTGAAAAAGAAGATGTTTTATTTTGGCAGAGGTTTACCCAGACAACTAATCAGCCTCCATCTTGGAAAACTTCCTCACTCCTCCATGTCAATACACTGGAGAGAATACCAGTCTTAGGACTTCTAATAGTAAATAGCTATTCTCACACTGGCCACGAGGGGGAATTGAACATATCATATACCTACACCATTTACAAATATGAATCACTTTTTCCAAGCAAAAAGTTAGTGGAAAAAGGTAATATTGGACATTTTCCCATTATGGTTAAGGGACCTCTGGTCACAGTAGCCTCATCAGGAAGCAGGGAAGCTTGGGCCTAATTTTGAGGACTGTTGAGTACCTACAATTCCAGTTCAAGTCAATAGGACTTGCACATTCTCAGTATCTCTGAAAATAAGGCCCCCTTTGTCTACAACTGGTAAAGGTTGGGCCAAGAATTGATTTTAGTGATAATTTATGTTTTGTGAGTGTGGGATTATGGGAATGATGATGATTGATTGGTTTGAATTGCAGTAGTGCCAATAGTCCTTAATCAGGGATCAGGGGTCCATGGTGCAGGATACTGTACATGCATATAGGAGCTTACTGGGGTTTGACTCCTGGAAGGAGGGGGGAAAGAGTGTATTTAAATGCAGCATTTCATGTATAGGAGTCTGCATATGGGAAGGTGGGAGTGGAAACAGTATGGTAATTAATTTTAATTCTTACATACACATGCTTTAGCATGTGAGTTGGCTTTTGGAAAGTCACACATTTTGTTCAGATTATCTTGACCTCAATCAACATATATGTAACAAGCTAATTACTGAGCAAGGACTGATGGGGACTGTGCAAGGTCAATACGGAATTGCTATTACAGTTATTGTACTTTTTTGTCCAAAGGCTAATAATTTCTGGCCTGAATTATACCAGGCATAAATTTAATTCTAAACTTAATAGTAGCAGCAGACCGTAAGATTTACATTTTAGGCAATCATTTTTCATTGCCTCATGTCTTGTGGGATTTCAAAATGGATTTTATATGCTTCTGTAGTAGCAAAATGCTCCTTCAGACATTGGAAATCTCCATACACATCAGACATTATAACTAGCAGCAAACTGCTTTTTGAGTCTTGCTTGAATAGGAAGTATTACCTGCAGAAGCAGACACTTTGAGTGAAATGTGCTGGATATAATTGTGGTCTAAAATTAATTTGAAATCAATTAGGAGACCTATGCTCCTTGCCACTGTGAGATGTGGAAGGGAGCAAAGATGTGGAAGGGAGCAAAGAAGGGTAAAGAGTGAACAGGAAAGGCACCAGAATCTGCAAAAGCATCCAGGCATGCTCCTCCCCTTCCTGTGGAAGCTTCTCTGATCTAACACTGTGTGAGAAGGGCTCTGCGAGTTTGCTGAGGGCATATTGAGGCTGGGAAGGGTCAGGGTATTAGTTGCATGGTGTTCTTCACTGTTGGTATTTCTGCTTGAAAATTCAGCAGATGTTAATGCTGCTGGAAAACACATTAATTTCTGCTCCACCTGGTCCAGAACAGTGGTTGGGTGGAGGCACAGCAAGGCACAACAATAGCAGCATGGATCCCTGAGGATATAGGTTGCTAAGGGGAATGGGATGCGTGGGGAACACTATGAAGAAGTACTCCCTCCCTTGTATTGGAGATTCTTTTTCTCCTGGTTACACCATGATCCTTGGGATTTGGAGACTGTCTTCTCTGCCTGCTCTACAGCCCTTTTTAGGGCCTGATCCAGCAAAGCACTTAAGCACATGCTTAACTTCAGGCATGGGAGTCCTCTCATTAACTTATACCTGTTTGAATGCTGTGCTGGTTTAGAGCCTGAATGCACGGATTGGGGGATATAGATGGGATTTGATAAATAGCAATGGAGATGCACAGGATGAACAATGTATTTCAGACCTTTGACTTATGTGACTACACCCATTTCAGTGTGGGTTTGAGAGGCTTTCAATACAGCATAGTCTCAGAATCGTACAGCAGCACTGAATGTGAAGTATTTCCGATCAGTGTTGAAATGAGAGCAAGTGTCTGAGTGAGATGTAACCACCAAACTAATTTTTGTAACTATTTATTTAGGAGGTTTTAACAAGTTTACATGTTCTTGCCATGTAAATATCAGAAACAAAACAATTGTTATTGTTACAACAATTAGCTTTGTTTATAGAGACATTATACAGGGATATAGGCAGCAGATCTAACTTTTTAACATGGTGTTACTATATTACAGAGTAAGCAAGTCATTTCTATTGATTGTATTAAATTCAGTGAAATCTCTCTATATAAATATTTAACATACCAGGTATGTCTATCAAATGTTAATATTAAAAAAAAAAAGTTGGACAGGTGTGCTGGCTTTTTTTTTTTTTTTTTTTTTTGCAGGTGAATATACTTTGTCTGAGTACTGACTAAAAGGTACCCAAATATCTGAGAATCTATCTGTGCTCTGTATGTTTTGCTAGGTACATAATTGGTGTGTTAATTTTTCCATAACTATAACCGCTCATATTTTTCGAACCATTCCTCAATGGTTGGGCTATTTTTCTTTTTCCAGCGAGAGGCTACCAATAGCTGAAAAGCTACTAGCAGATGAGAGATTGATTCTTCATTTCCTTTTGTGTGACCACTTCCACTGGGAAGCCCCAAGAGGATTACCAAAGGATCATTCGGTAATGAATAGCCAACAATTTGTGATATTTGGTTACAGATTGCATCCCAGTACTCTCCAATGACTGGACATGTCCACTATACATGCATAAAACCTCCTCTTTCACCACAATTTCTCCAACATTTATCTCCATTCTGTCAATATATACATATTTTAACCTGACTGGTGTGAGGTAGCATGGAAACAGTATCTTAAAGAAATTTTTTTATTGTGCTACCGAGTGAATTTGCTGGCCCTCTTCCAGACTGAACCCCATTCCTATGGAGTAATGCATAAAACATAAGCCGTTGTATCAGAGGCCTGGTATGAGGCCCGAGGCCTAAACTAAAGTAGTGGTCAAAACTTTGCTAATATGAAGCAAAGTCAGGTTGTGAACAAGCGGCAGGCCCTGCTCACAAAATTTGGCAAGCACAGGGCTAATATTGCAAAAACACATATTCTTAAGAGGTGCTAGGTACAGAGCACTCAAGCAAGCACATTCCAGAAGGGTGGTACCAAAACACCTCAATAACGACACATTCCCCAAAGATAACAGGAACACACTGACTCATCCTAAAGATAAGGTCAGGATGACAACACGATGAATAAAAATGTTGTAATCAAACCAACATGTAAAAGGCAATGGGTGGCACCCTGATACGTCGGGGCAATATGTAACTTGTTTGTATTGGTGTATAAAGATAAATCTGAGAGGGACTGTCTTTGGCCAGCTGAGGGGGCAGTGGAAATTCCCACCACTGACTGAGCTGCATCCATTGTTATGAGCATACATGTATTAGTGGTCCGGTAAAGTCTGCAGGATACTAGTACCGTGCTTCGTCAACAATAAACCTAGATGGGTCCCTTCCTATCTTAACAGATCTTGTGGTCATTGGGTGGTTCGCTCAAAGTCTGCTGTGCCAGCTTTCTGTGCAGAGCTGGGACAGCACACAGAGAGAACACACATACACACAGCTAAACATCTAAACACAGTGTCTATCCACATCTTTTCCCCAATGTGCCAGATACAGACAATATTTTATTAGGAAAGATGTCTGCAAAGATGGATATAAATTAGTTATATTTTTTTGTTTCCTAATTGACCAGATGCCATTGCCTATAGGCAATAAATAGTTTGCCTATAGTTTAATATATTAAACTAGTTTGTATAAAGTTGCCCATAGCTTGCCAGTCCAGAGAGCCTTTTAAAAACATATGCCAGTGAAAGATCCTATGTTTGCCTTTATTATTGGACTGTGTATTGATACCACTTATAATACTACCATAACTGTGGATCATATGGTATGACGGGTTGGATCACAGAAACCCCCTTGGGAACTACCAACTGATGTGCCAAGACTACTTCTGCCCCTTTCCCTGCCAGCCTGGGACACCAGCAACCTGTCTTGTTGAGCCAGACACGCCAGTCTACTCCAACACAGACCCAGGGTCTGAACCACGTGCCCCAAAGCTGCAGATTTAGCTGAAAGCAACTTACAGAAGTGTTCCTGTCTTTAACACTCAGATGCCCAACTCCCAATGGGGTCCAAACCCAAAATAAGTCCGTTTTACCCTGTATAAAGCTTATACAGGATAAACTCATAAATTGTTTGCCCTCTATAACACTGATAGAAAGATATGCACAGCTGTCTTCTCCCCCCCCCCCTCCCCCAGATATTAATACATACTCTGGGTTAATTAATAAGTAAAAAGTGATTTTATTAAATACAGAAAGTAGGATTTAAGTGGTTCCAAGTAGTAACAGACAGAATACCAAGTAAAATAAAATAAAACATGCAAATCAAGTCTAATACAGTAATAACATTGAATACAGCTAAAATCTCACCCTCAGAGATATTTCAATAAGTTTCTTTCACAGACTGGATGCCTTCCTAGTCTGGGCACAATTCTTTCTCCTGAGAAATCCCCTTGTTCCAGCTCAGGTTGTAGCTAGGGGATTTCTCATGATGGCTGCCCCCTTTTCTCTGTTCTACCCATTTATATATCTTTTGCATAAGCAGGGATCCTTTGTCTCTCTGGATTCCCCCCCGCCCTTCTTAATGGAAAAGCACCCGGTTAAAGATGGATTCCAGTTCAGGTGACACAATCACATGTCACTGTAAGACTTCATTACCCACTTGCCAGCACCCAGGTATACAGGAAGACTCACAAGTAAAACAGAGCCATCTACAGAAAATTGTCCTGGTTAATGGGAGCTATCAAGATTCCAAACCACCATTAATGGCCCACACTTTGCATAATTACAATAGGCCCTCAGAGTTATATTTTATATGTCTAGTTTCAGATACAAGAGTGATACATTTATACAAATAGGATGACCACATTCAGTAGATTATAAGCTTTGTAATGATACCTTACAGGAGACCTTTGCATGAAGCATATTCCAGTTACATTATATTCATACTCATCAGCATACTTTCATAAAAGCATATAGAGTGCAACGTCACATATGGGATGCTACACTTTTCAATGGTAGAGAATCACTCTTTCACACTCACAGGTATGCAGTATCTAGACATCTACAAATGTCCATGTGCAATCACAAGAAAAGAATGGAAGCCGAGAGTTTGGTAGCCTGTGTGAAATGATGGTGGACTCCATCCAGTGCCTAGTGGGCAGGAATCCACATCAGAAACCCCCCTCAACTTCCTCCCCCCCACACACAAACACTAAGTGGTGCCCATGTTAGTAGTCTGTCTCAGTAGAAAGGATTCAATGGACATTGAAACTAAGATACTCTCGTCCCTAGAGATGGTCTTTCCAGGTCCGGATGTAAGCACATTGATAAGACAATATGGAGTAGCCCCTAACTGACCTTTGTCCTGCTCCCCAAACTCCCTTCTTAGAGCACATTGAGCCCAGTGGAGCTGCACAAAAAAGCTCTCTGTGCATGTTTTCTCCACCCTCCCCTTCCTTGCATAGCAGAATTGCACTCATTCAGCTGCCTTCCAGGCTCTCTGTGTCCATGACTCAGGCTGGGGGTTCAGCCCCAGCGGAGGAATATTCTTTCTTGCTGTGCTTTTGTGGGCAACATTGTGGCATCCTAGTATTATCTATAGTAACACAGAAGAGACACTCAATCCATTTTTCCAGTTTTTAAAAATTGAAAATTAAGTGTCTTTTAATACAAAACATCAGACAGCTCAGAATGAAGTGCAAGAGTTTTACTGGATTATTACATTAGTTATGGTGCTCAAGAGATTAAATTAGGAAATACACTACTGAATGTTCCAGAGATAACTATTTTCTCAGGGCTACAGTACTTAAAAAAATAAGGTGATAAAGATTATTTGGAGTTTCCTTTAGTCCTTTTGTCATATACACTACAAGGTAACTCTCTTTTATTATAAGAGGTCTAGGAACGGTTCTAAAGTTAAATCATTGTAAATCTCACACTTCTTTTACCAGGGCAATGCAATCTGAAAGACATAGTGACTGGGGGAAATTGGAACAAACTCTCTTAATATATTTTTTAATTAATGGAATTTCTTAAGGTTCTATCTCTACCCGGGGGGGGGGGGAGGGGTCAGAGACAAAGACAATCACAAATTTTGCTTGTTTGACGGGCACAAGATTAACAGTGTTTGGTTGCTGGGGGAAGGTTTGTTCACTCCATCCATGAGGCAGAGGTTCCATATTGGAGCTGACAGGGAAGAGCTGGTTAAGAACAGTCAGGTTACTTGATACCATATGGTGCTATGATTAGAGGGTTGCTACACAGGGAGAGTGAAACCAAAGTACCTTTTGGGCAATAACTTCAGGGAGCATGGGGAGAACTGCTATCCCAGCATTCGTTTGCATCATAGAACTGCATTGATTTTTCTTACTGTACTAAAATGGTCATCATGGTTAGCAGATGGGCCCATGACAACACCCCCTACTTCCTGTTTCGTTAGGTGGAGTTCATCCCCATGCAGTTTTGTTGTGATGCAGTTGAATAAAATAACAGGCTCCCTAGTTGGCAGTCATGTGAGGAAAGTGTTATTTTTGTTGCACTGAGTGGTCCATTTGCAAAACTTAGTGTAACCACATTGATAATTATTAACAGAACTGATTTGCAGGGATGGAAGAGAATGGCTGTCAGAGAACAAACATCAGGAAGAACAAAGATGAGGGAGCTGTGAGAGTCCCCCAGGTCTCAATATTCCTCCAGAGTTGGGGAGCTTTTGTCTGGGACAGCAGAGGAAAGAAGACACTAGATTCCTTTTAGGATTGCCCTCATCATTCTCCCTTTTCCTCTCCCTTGGGGGTGCTTAGCTTCCTCTTGGGCTTGGAGGGAGACATGGTAGGGAATAGGAGCTCCCTAAATGACTGGATGGACTGAAGGGCTCCGAGCCATTGGGGAGTGTTTATAAGTTTTTCTCTTTCTTAGGGTGCCACTGTGCATCTAGGATAAATAGCTCCACCCACTCTCTGATTAGAGTAGGACTGGGTTTCTGGGCCATGCAGGGGCCATCACACTAGTTGCCTTTTGGAGGCTGGGACAAGATTCTCCCTCACCCCCACCCCCACTTATTGCCAGACTGGCCTGGGTGGGACAGGGCTATTTCGCTTTCATCTCAGCCTCCCAGATATCCTGGGAGTGGAAGGGGAGGGGGGTGTTAGGTTGTGAGGTGTTTGAGTTGTTACAGCTTGGCAGGTGTCCAGTGCAGAAGCTCATGCAGTAGCACCAAGGTTGGGGAGGGCTTTCTCTATGGTAAATGGGAGTGGTGATTGGGGGGTCCTATTGGTATAGTGCAGGGCCATTTCCTCAGCCTTTGAGTGCAGGATGGTGGGATCCCAGAAGCAGTGCTGGAGACAGGTTGAAAATATAGGGGTTGGGGAGCTGTGGGCAGTCCTTCCCCAGGTGGTACAGATTACTGAAGGAAGGCTGACCTGCACTGGACAAGTTATTGCCAAATATTTCCCAGATGTGTTAATAAAGTTGTAATCAATTAAATACATTCCTGGTGTCTTGTATTGTCTTCCTTAGGTATCAGAGACAATTCTGTCTAGCTGGTAAGGTAAAACTTTCAAAGAAAAGCTGTTGTGTTCTTTGTAATATCCTGCCTTAGCAAAGTTACCGATGAAGATGATAAATTAGATTGCAAGACTGTGATAATCTAGTCTGACCTCTGGTATCACACAGACCATAGAACATCTCCAAAATAATTCATAGAGCATATCTTCTAGAAAATGGTCCAGTCTTGATTTTAAAATTGTCAATGATTGAGAATTCACCAGAATCCTTGGTAACTTGCTCCAATGGTTAATTACTCTCACTGCTAAAAATAAAATAAAATGTATGCCTTATTTCTAGTCTGAATCTGTCTAGCTTCAACTTCCAGCCATTGGATTATGTTATACCTTTCTCTGCTAAATTGAAGAGCCCATTATTAAATATTTGGTCCCCCTGCAGGTACTTATAGGCTGTAATCTAAAGCCACTCCTTAACCTTCTCTTCATTAAAATAAATAGGTTCATAGAATCATAGAATATCAGAGTTGGAAGGGACCTCAAGAGGTCATCTAGTCCAACCCCCTGCTCAAAGCA